TTCACCTTCAGCCAGGGTATCCTGATGGTAGGAGGGGGCGGCAAAGAGGAGGCGGGTCAAGACATCTGAGTTTGGCAGGGAGTCTCGCTAAAAGGAGAGAGTTTGTTGTAATTGCCCTGACAGGTTTTTAGGGCTGTTAATGACGCCGGCCTTAGCACTACCAATTTGTCAGCATGCTTGCTGTTTACTAAGCTGTTGTTTTATGGTCCGGTGCGAGGGGCTGCTGCCTGTTTAAGCACAGATCAGGAAATAATCAGAGTAAAACACTGGCTGCAGTGGTGAACACTAAACACGTTTCCGTTTAGAGCCCTCATCTACAGTATGGACGTGAATGAGCGCTGTTACCCATATGGTGTGTGTGGCCACAGGAAAACACACAAATACACCGATTGGTTACTCAGAGTTATAAACTGGATGCCGGAGTGTGTGTTTCATCATTAAAAGGATTATAGTCTACTCGTTAACACTTCTCCGTGTTGCATGTTATGCGAGTGTGAAGCATATTGCTAGCATGTGGTTATGGCCAGCGGACCTGTAATCCCCCATCAGCGCTGGATGAATAGAGCCTAGTGCTGTTTGTATACGTGTGTGTGTGAGGGGAGACTGTGTGTGATTCAAGAGCATGTGCTCCCAGAGCCAGCAGAGACCCCTTCGTAAATCCACAGTAAATAAAAGGGGTAACCAGATGGACAAAAGAGGAGCCCCCACTGCTTCTGTCATTCGTTGCCATTTGGGGGGAGCTGAATGTGCTAAACGCCGCTTATGTTAGCTGAAAAGTTGAGGAGAAAAAGAGGGGAAAAGGGAGGCTCTAAATCCCCCCTTCTTCTTTTCTCTTCATTCTCCACAGCCAAGCCTGCAGGGCTGGAGGTGGTGTAATAGGAGGGTGTTGGAGGGGGGTTCGGAGGGGCCTGGTCACTATAGTGTGCAAAGGTAGAGAAGGCCGGAGGAACCTTTGCCACAACAGCCCTCTTTGCTCCTGTTCCCTGTTCAACTCATGTCCTCACAACTTACTCTCTCTTTCTACTTCTTCTCACTTGGGTGAACAATCCGACTAGTTTGGGTTGACAGGGGAGGCGTGGGGGGTCTGTTGTAATTAGTCACTTTAACCACAGCTTCCATAAGCCACTGCCTCTACATTCTTGCTTCATTACTCTGAGACAAACACGAGGGCCTCCGCGTACAAAATCACTGCACGGGTTTTAGAATAATCTCCACAACATCTGAAGCTGGTCTCAGAAGGTTCACCAAATTAATGAGATTTAAAAAAAAAAAAAAAGAAAAAAGAAATAGCCCATTTGGAATGATTCAGCGTTCAAACATACCGTAGTTCTATTCCCTAAATAAGGAAATAGAAAATGTTGCTTTCAATATATTCATTATAAAAGGTTTGGACAAAAAAAAAAATTAAAAAATGTTAAAATCTTGAAAGGCAAGGGTTAAAGACCAGGTTTTATAGGAACATCCTACTATGTCTTCAACCAAGATGATGGCAGTTGGGTGATGGATGTGGCCAAAATTAGAAGTTCTGGAGTACAGGTCTTAGGTGGACCAAAAGACAAGGTTTCATATTTTAGCAGAATCTAAACTGCTACAAATGCAACTTTTACAAGAGAGTACTGGTAAATAAGCTTGAAATATTATTTGATAACCAGCTGTGGCTGAGTTACGGTGTGTATTGCAGCTGTTGACAAGTCATTATTCATTTATGCATGTGTATATTGCGATGAAAGAGCAGCAGAGGGGCTGTATTCTTGTTGTATGGGTTACTCATAACACAGAGTAGACCTCAGAGGTTCCCTCAGGGTGCAGGGTGCCTCGAGATATGAAGTATGATCCCCTTTACTCTCAGCAAACGCTGGAGGAACTTTATGGTCAACCAATTTTTTGTGTGTGTGTGATAAATCCTGAAGCAAGCCTGAATGAGGCAACATTAGATAAGCAGAGTTGGTGTGTGTTTACAGTCATTCCCTGAGCCATTAATGAGCTCAGCCCTGACCAATTTACTCACAGGGAAATATATCTGAATGCATTTTTAATAACCACCCACTGGTGATGATAGAGGGAATGTATGTGAGCGTAATGTGTTCCTGGCCTCGTTTGTTTGTTTGCTAGCGTGCTCATTCACTCTGATTGCACTACGGTCATTGTCTTCCATCCTGCCTGATTACACTTAGTACATTTTTGTGCATATACAAACTTTCATCGCAGGCACTTTAAGTCAAGATATTGATAGAGCCAAGGAGAAAGGAAGGGAAAAAAGGAGTGAGAGAAGAGAAGGCAGCCTTTTTTACGTCTCCAAGGGCGCTGGTTTTCCAAAAGTGCCTGGGGCTACACTCTAGCACCTCAGCTCCCCTAGGCCTTTCGGCAGCCTCCTAATAGCCAACCCCCATCTGTGTCACATGGCCAGATGATGGGATGCTTCCCCCTGCTCTGCCCTGCACTTTTTCCCCCCTCTCCATGATTTTTTGAGAGTGCACATCCACACAGGTTAGAATGGCAGAGTTGCCAGGGAACAGTCAGAAGCCATTAGCGTTTGGGACAATTTGCCCTGCAGCGTTCCTTCTCTCGCTCATAAGAAAAGGAGTGGGGGTGGATGCAAAGCACCAGCTTTCCTTTAGATGTAATGAGGTTGTGGAAGTTGGTTCTTCTTTTTTCTTTCTCTTTGCCTTCTTTTCATCTTCTCTTCCCAGCTTTTCCCCTTCAACTTTCTTTCATTCTCTGTTTATTTCTTTTATTTAACCCTCAGCCAGCAATTGATTTTTACACAAAAATACGAGTCAAAGAAGAGCAGTCGTTTGTACTTAAATGTCACATGTGCGACCTGAGCAAACATGACAGTAGTTTTGTGCAAGGGATAGAAAAAAAAAAAGAGGGCGATAGAAAGACGAGCCAAAAGACTGGTTTCACCCTCCCAGGCTTCGGCACGAGGCAGCGTGCATGCTGGGTAATGAAGTGACAGGTCAGTCTGTAAATACGCCCGGGTCACTCCAGTCCTGGCCAGGGGGGAGGCTATCACATTGCAGTGAAAATGGAAACGTCAATAAAATTAATCTGCCAGCCTTTTGGCCACTGTGTGGTTCCACTGGATGTGCCTGCCTGCTCACAGCAGGAGAGGGATTTGGAAAGTGCCTTGAAAATCAACACAAAAAAAACCTGGCAGCACACAAACAAACAAGCAAAGTGTTTATCAACAATATTCAGTCAAGCTCAAAAGCTGAGAAACAAGGGGAGGGAGGTTGAGATTCACAGCCCACTAGTTTGTGTTGCTAACTGGAGCAAACTGGGGGAGTTAGACTTGACTTCCGTCTGGGTCACATTTCTCAGGAAACCCCTCACAGTCAGGGAAGGCTACGGCCCGACTAGAGTTTATTGTTTTAGGCTTTCCTGAACAAGGATTCCTACTTAGTCTGGGATTTACGGCATTTGTGGCTAATGAATGCCTACGCTACAATTACAACACCCGTAGATCGTGTCACCGTTCCCATATGTCCTTCTCAAGGGCTATTGCTTCTCCAACTTCACACAGAGAGAGCGCAAAATCGGCACTTCTCTGTTTTTTCTCCTCCATGTGGCTCTGCACTAATGATGTGGAAAAAAAACACTGCTCACAGACAGAAAAGAAAGACAGAAAAAGCAAAAAACAAGGGGGAAGGAAAGAGAAAAGAAAGTGGATAAAGTCGGAATAAGAGTGGGCCCCTGCTGTCCTTGTATTCTTCATTTATTTTGCATGTGATTACGCCACCAGTCGCTCCTGTTTCTTCACCCGCTTTTTTAACGTTATTAGTTCAAATATTTATGCAAGATTAAGGCTTGTATAGGTGCTCGTGATTGATGCCTCCCCAAAAACAGACGGACATGCGAGTCTGAATTTTGAGGATGTCAGGGTCCTTCTCTGCCTTAGTGTAGGAGTTTTTCAGATACATAATTTAGATGCCCTGAAGGAAGGCTTTCAAGGCATCTCTGCCCGGGGGCAAGAAAAAATAACTATGACTGCTAAAAGTAAATCATTTTTGCTAATGCACAATTAATGCAAAGGAAGGAGCAGAAAGGGCAAGGGACAAAGACGGGAAAGTTTGATTTCAAGGAGAAGCCATGCTGGGGTGTATGCATGTTTTTCCTCTTGAAATCAAACGCTGGCGGACATTAATGCAGCCGCCGCTGGCCTGTCATGCTAATCTTGAGGCAAAAAGGGGAGGGGCTGCAGTGAGCAGTGAGCAAGGGGAGACTTGAGAGAGAGTCCGGGTCTGGAATGGGGTGGGGGAAGCAAACGAGTCCATTATGTGCATCGAAGTGCAACAATGAACCACCCCAAATCACGTCCCTCGTCTAATACTCAGATGTATGCCACGAATTATCATCTCTTCTGAGGTTTGTTTGTATGCGAGCGTCTCTGCACGCAACATGAATTCATGAGTGTCTGTGTGTGTTACTGTACGTGTCTGCGGAACTCCTTTCTGTCCCCTATGGCTCTCTTTAAAAGACAAGGGGAAAGAAATGTCTCTACGTTATGTCAAGCATGCAAATTTAATTGAATTAATGACACGAGTCCAAGCCTCTACTGTACTTGAAGACTTCTTGTTCCTCTTTTCTTAGCTCCTATGCCTCCTACTGTAGAAATGGAATGAGGAAACTAGTCTTTCACTGTCCAACAAAAACATTACAGTCATTAACCCCTATTCCCTTCTCCCAAGCTCGAGGGTATGAAATATCTTTGCAAGGCCTCAAAGTAAACCCCTCTTCCCCTGTTCAGGCCTTCAGCTAAGGCCATCTAAATCCCCCGACCTCCACATCTTCACTGGCTTTGCTGCGGTGATTCTCTCGGCCTGGGTGCAGAGCTTTCAGATTCCTTCATAGGTTTTGCTGGTATTTGTCCATTTATCCATCTTTCATAAGCCTTCAGCTCAGTTCTCTTTGGTTTTGTTTTACATCAGAAATATGTACTGTAAGTCGGTGGTGTTTGTCTGAGATGTTATTTAACTCTGGGTTTGGTTTCTGTCCAGGAGATGGCTTAGACAACAGCGTTGCATCGCCTGGCACAGGGGACGACGATGATCCAGACAAGGATAAGAAGAGGCAGAAAAAGCGTGGCATTTTCCCTAAAGTAGCCACGAACATCATGAGGGCGTGGCTATTCCAGCATCTCACGGTAAGGACAGCCATCACATCTCAACACAACACAACAGTAAAAGGCCGAGGTAGAAAAACACAGACTTTAAAAAAAGCACTCACACACACAGCTGTCACGCAGTCGTTAGTGAGGGAATGAGTGGTGGCAGGATTGTGATGTTCACCTGTCAGCCACCTGTCAGAGGGACACACTGACCAGGTCAATCTAATCACTCTGGACTGTTTGCTCTGCTCAGCACACTTTTAGTAGGACAGAGATGGCCCAACAGTCCAGGGCATGTACGACGACAGTACCAGATGTGCTTCGCCTGACGTTTTTTATGGCAATTCAGCACAAAGAGTAATGTATTCTGAAGGATATTTGTGTTTGTGTGTGAGACAAAAATAATGGACATAGTTTTATGAAATGCCTATATGAGGTTTCTTCAAGTCAGAAACATGGGCCTGCTGTGATTCTGTGCCTAAAAAGAAGCAGTAGTAGGATCACACTGTTCTGTGTACAGTACTCTGTAAACACAATATTTGTTTGCGGTTAAGGTGTTATTTGAGGGCAGATGTGAAAACAGAGCTTTAACTTCAGACAAATGTTAGCATAATTAGCTGCTCATGCTACTTTAAAGGTTTAAAGCTGTAGATTGTTTGTAGAAATTGAGCAGAGCCATTGGATGAATAACTTTCATTTCCTGCATAAACAATTTGAAATGTGAAAAACACTCCATCAGTTTATGGTACAAACCAAAGAATCAATAACTTTCATTTCCTGCATAAACAATCTGAAATGTGAAAAACTCCATCAGTTATATTTAGTTTATGGTACAAACCAAAGAATTTGTGAGCAAGTGGCTAACGGTTATTATGAACGCCCTGCATATTCTTATGTTTAGTGGTTATAGTGTGTTTCTTTGAGGGATTATAGTAACATTGTTGTTGTATCATCTTAGCATGTTTTGTTGTTGATCGTTTTCTTAATAACATTACATACATTATTATTACATTTTACATTTCAAGGAATTTGCTTGTTCAGTCCTGTATGAGCCGACCACCAATTGCCGTTCCTTTATTTGAGATGTTAGCTTCTTGTTTCATTCTTGTTTCTAGAGAACATAAATATGTTATTAGGTTAAGAGTTGGCCATTGGTGGAGCAGGGGGAGAATTTGGTTGAACCTTCTCACCCCTTTCTAACACCTCACATTTGACATGGTGTGACATGTTTTTTTTTTTTGCTTGTATGTCTGTCTTTTTTGTCTCTCTGTTCCAAAACAGAGAGAGGTGGTGAGACTCCCCCTCCTTCTCCCATCTCATCTATTGTCAGAACATTATCAGAACATCAGTCTGTATTGATTTTGCAATGGAGGTCAGATTTCAGGAGGAGGTGGCCGCATCAGGACACATAAGCTGCTCCCTGAACACGTGGCTCCTTGTCTCTGAAATCAGGGGGTAACGATGGGGGAGGGGGAAAGTAAAAAAAAAAAAAAGTTTTTTAAAAAAGAAGAGAAAGATAGGAAAAGTAAAGAACCCTTCAGGAGTCTGCCATATGGATCATCCAAGCATTCAAGAGAGTCAGAAGACCTCTGTGCACCCGTACCCCTCCTCTCCTTTTCTTAGACCTAACTAACAGTGCCCACTCCCACCCCAAAGCCCCTGTACCCTGATTATCCAGCCCAAATAATGAGTGGCCAGCAAATACGGCCTAATTGAAAGGGCTGTAAATCCATTACATATTGGTCAGGGATAATCAGGAGTGCTTTAATCACTTTTATCTATTCAGGAGCAGTGAAGCTGCAATAGCAAAGCCCTGAGCCTCGCAGGCCTTAGCGGCTCCACCACGCCAGTCTGCATGCTTATTATTCTCATCATTATCAAAATGACTTCACAGCTGTTCACAGCTCCATCGCTCCCTGACTGGAGACCTCTCACCAAATCGACACACAAGCCTCATTCAGAGGCTGAGGACGGGAGGCAGGCGAATCATTTCAAAACAGGTCTTTTTTTTAGCTTCAGGCCTTTTTTTTCTTCCACACCCTTGGAGTGGAATACTTTGTGTATGATCGGAAAACAGTTTACGTGACCGGCATGTTTTGTACTCACACTCGCATAAACACACCTTATGTAAGTTTACTCCAGAAATGTCCTCACGATTTGGCGCACTCGCATAAACACACCTTATGTAACCTGATGTAAATCTTTTGCTGGTGAAAGACCTGAAAAAGCTGCCGAAATAAAGACAGGGTGCCACGGACTGGAGGTGGATGAGTAGAGACGCCAACTATTTTCTTTAGAATTGTTTTAAATTGAATTGAAAGACTAGAAAGGCCAGGAGGAGGTAGAGCCCAGTGTTGGGCACAGGCACATTTTTCAGCGAGCTGGTTAATTTAGACAGAGAGGAGCTTTTAGGGCTTTCCTTTTCTCTGACCCTCTCCTTTATCACATTCCCTGCTTATAGATGTTCTCTCCAATCTTTATTTGTTTCTTTTGTGCGAAGCCCTGGCGGGTCTTGTACAAATAATAATCCCTCCCTTTTTAACCTGCCTTCATTTATCTACTGAGGAAGAGGACTAATTGAATTATCCCCCTTCTCCTCTCGCCGTGCAATTCTCCCACCCATAAACTCTCTCACTTTCTCTATCACCCTCACACACACACACACACATACGGTCTCACACGCCCATTAACCATTCGCTTTTCTTTTAATTTGTTAAGCAAATGTATTGCCATTGCTTGATGCATTTGTGCGAGGGTGAGTTCTTGGGGACTTTGGCCCCTGAATGGCCTATAGCGGCATTCTGCCATTCACGCATTCATTAACTGAGAGGTGAGGAGTGAAAGGAGTGGTCTTGTATTTTCTCAAACTGCAGGGCCAGCATGAAGCTCCTCTTCCATGAGCCACGGGGGTCTCTCTACATATGTTCTCAACATCCAGCCATTGTCACTTCTTCTGAAAAGCTCAAAAGGATAGGACCCCTGCCCCCTCCCTCTTCTTCAGACACGGAAAAAACAACACAGACCAATAGTAACAACTGTTGGCTTTTGGATTCAGTATAACAAAATTGCCCTCACACCCCCCTCCCTTCTACAACCCTCTGTCGCCTCACGCTGACCTCACACTCTCTTGAGAGAAATCGCAGGATGGTTTTCTTTAGGACAGTTGAAACTCAAATTTACCACAAAGTTATCAGCAACCTGAGGACAACATGTGATTTCTGTTGCCTTAAAAAATGTCTCCACATATGCAGAGATTCCACAGCTCCTCTTTGAAGAGGTTGGGACTGATTTTATATTGAGGCCAGATGCACATGCACAAGAGAGCATGTGATCTGGCATCCTTAAATGCCCCATATGTAACTGCCAAACGGCTGTACAGATCAGCTGGTGTTAGCTGGCAGTCTATCACCCTCATGTCTCTCTCTCCCTCTCTCTCTCTGTCTCTCTCTCTCTCTGTGTCTCTCTCCCTCTCTCTCTAATACCCCCTCCCTCTCCACGAGGTTCTGGATGTCTTCCAGCCACATTAGTGGAAGGGAAATCCCAGAGTGTTGGTATAAGCTTTTCAATACTACAGGGAGATTATGTTATCAGAAAGGTAAACTTCACTGTAAGAGGTAAAATACTGCACTTTTAAAGCAAAAACTATCAAATTCAGGAGCTATTCACACACAGACTGTGTCTTTTCAGAGATTTCTCATTGTCAAAAAGGTTGATGTTAGTTTGTTTGTCAAAAGCAAACTTAAAAATGCACAATTGGCCCCTTGGTGCCCCTGGCCTCCCCTTCCTCTTACCCTCTGCAAGCCCCCCTGCCAGCCCTAACTCACCCCTGTAAAGACAAGGGTCGGCCTCGCAATGAAAACAGGAAGCACTCAGATACAAAGATACCACTCTGGGCTCTGGCCTTGTCTTTTGACTAGTGTAAACCATCAAACACCTATGAAAATAAATAGGGGACCTCAGGAGCACACGTATGGATGTGTGATCCAAAAAAGGAGGCGAGGAGGGAGGCATTGAGGCAGTGTGAATGGTCAGTGAGATGAGTAGGTAGGTAGCCTTCACAAGAATCAAGCGTCTCAGGTTTTGTGCTGGGCCACCCTTTGGCTTTGGTGTTTGGGGAAATGCTGTTAAGCTGCTAAGCCAGGTGTATTGGTCCCCCGGGCTCCTTGAAAGGGAAGTGATATATCCCCTGGTCATCTGGAGAGTCTGTGGGCAGGAGGTCTGTAGTATTCACACTGAACTGACTGCCTCCAAAAGTCCAGATTTTTGTTGAACCAGAGTGAGCCCGACAGAAAAAGCCAATTCAGAGTTTTTTTTAGCTTTTATTTCTGACTCTAAACTGAACAACAGATTAGATTTTTTTTTAAAGTGCTATTCAGGAGGTTTTTAAACTGAGTCCCCGTCCATTTTGATGAAGAAAACCAGATCACTTTCAACAATTAACACCTCCCTGACTGACTATTGTACCTCCTTTTATCGTTCTAAAACAAATACCTGCTTAAATACCATTAGTACTCTAATGTTGAGCACAGTTGTAAAAAGTATTTTTGTGACCAAAACTCACCATTGTAAATGTAGATATTTATGGGCAGAAGACGTTGAATGACATTAATTAGCACAGTAAGTGTGATGTCTTGGACTTGTGAAATCTGTTAGCACAGGTGTTAACTGAAGTCGGGGCACATCTCACTTTGTGTGGGGACAACTGTATTGTGCTGCAAACATCATTAGAGTCAACAGGGACACCTCCCCTCCACACACACTCTCCAGTTCCAAGCCCAACATAGCATTAGTCTCCATGACAACAGGGTGTCATCGTCAGGTCGAGCCCTCCTGTGGGAGCTGCTCTCTCGACCGCCCTTTATAGATGCACATAAAAGAGGCAACTAGGGTCATTCACAAGACACGGGCACAGCCGGGTCCGAACCCTGACAACGGATGTCGGTACCGTGTGATAAACAAGTGTTCGAGTCAGAGCCTTGAAAAGAGAGGGCACGTTGTTGGTGTGTGGAACCAAACAGTCAACCCACAGCACTACC